GAAGGTAGGCGATGGCTACACTTCTAAGAAGATAAGTTGTAATTAACAAGGAAATAAAAGTGAGGAGGAGACAGTCTGCTCTGCCTTGGGGTAAAAGGCAGGGTTTTTATATCTTTTGGACTATTAGTAAACGACCCAATTAACAACCTAGTTAACAACCCAGTTAACGACCCAGTTAACGATCCTTTTAACAACCCAGTTAACGACCTTTTTAATAACCCAGTTAACGACCCTTTTAACAACCCAGTTAACAACCCAGTTAATAACCTGGTTAACGATCCAGTTAACGTACCAGTTAACATACCTGTTAACGTATCTGTTAACGTACTAGTTAACGTACCTGTTAATGTACCTAATATTATACTAAAATTACTATTATTTATCGAAAATTTGACTAATAAACTAAAGCTAAAAATAAACATATAATAAATACAAATTATACCAATAAAATATACTAATAAAATCTTATAAAATATGCTAATAAAATCTACTAATATAACAATAGATTTGATAATTACTAACTGAAGTAGACCCTCAACTGTTTCTGTCAAGATTGGAACGAAAAAAATAGTTGAGTCACAACTCATTGAACCAATGCAGGCTACAAGATGCCGAAAAATATCTCGATTCTCGTCATATAGTTTGTTGACTTCATCAATGCCAACAATAATTGCAAGCTTCTCCGTATTTCTAACGTCTTTACGCTTATTTTCATATATAGTATATAAAGCAAGAGACAACGTTAGTTGTTTTGCATTTTGTTTAACAATGTCCCTAAATTTGAGATAGTCTATATGATTATATACAAAGTAGATGTATAAGATCCTTAGTGCTAATGAAGCTTCTGCACCAATATCTACGTCAAAATCTAAAAATGCAAATCCATTTTTATATATAATGTTCAGAAAAATTGCTTCTCCCAGTATTAATTTAATATTATCATTAAATGATGATTGTGCTTTTTCGCAAATGATGTAACTGACCTCCTGCAGAAACTGACTTTTTCCTATACCAGGACCGCAACCAAAAAATGGAATTGGATGAAAATTATGATCCTTCTTTGGACTTGCACTATAATAGTTTTTAAAACAGTTTAGAATTCTATAACTATTGACTACGTCGCCATCTCAGAGGGTATTTATGGTGTTTTCATGATCAGATAAAGTAAATTGTGCACCAAATAATTCAACAAGCAATGCTGGTTTCGCTCCAGTTGGGCTGTAGTTTCGTATCCATACTAAAATCGAATGCAGATCTTCCAAGTTAACTTAAAAATCAGTGATATTACTTCGTGAACTAATATGAGGTACAGCTATAACAAATTTAAAGACATGCAATTCATATAACAGGGTTAGTTGCAAAATATTAATAGATTAGAAAAAAACTAGACTTACCTACTGAGCTAAGTGCTAGTTTGTTCTTGCAAAGGGTAAACACTTACCAGTAGTAATAGGTGCTTGCACAATAATATAAATGTGCTCTTTTGGAAGTTCATTCAAAAAACATTTTGTAATATTTCAAAGTGGGAGTAATTCCTCACCACCTAGTTTTTGTTTAACATCAATTTTTTCATGAGGCCTATTCTTAAGTATTTTTAGCTTATCGTCATCTTTTCTGGTAGAAATATTAACCTTCCATATTCTCAGATCATTGGGTTCAACGTTTTCGAAGATTTTTTCCTTATTCTTTTTGATTGCTTCCTTGAAATGAGAAATGGTCTTGATTTCGTCCTTATAGATATCAAATGTAAAAGAGGTACCTACGCCTAAAACAAAACAACAAAGCATAATATCAGCGCACCTACAAATCGAAAATTGAGATTAAATCACTAATTTTTCAGTAAAATATAAAGTAACTACCTTAACTGAGTAGACATTTGTATATTGCCAAACTGGTTTGTAGCTTGTTATGATAATGAAAAAATTCATCCAAAAATGCAGTAAATAAATATGGTTAGAAAATTTTTTGCAAGTTGGGTGGTATTTATATTACAATTTTTAGGTCACATGATTGATCCTCAATGGACAGTCGTATCTAGGAGTTAGTAAAATTAAGGGGGGACAACTTATAATAATATATAGCCAATAAAAATGATCTACATTATTTTATATAACGATTATCTAGATATATAACATAAATTTTCACAGTTCTTATGCCAAAAAAATTTTGGCAAAACTTTGTGAACTAAGTTCACAAAGTAAAGTTGCATGAATTGGCGGGAGGTAAAGTTAGTTAGAAGCACGACGTGCTATGAATGATCTTTATTTCATAAAATCACGTAAAAATAAAAAATTAGGAGCCCAGCAGACTCCCTCCCTTTATTGTTATAAAAAATTATATTGCTGGGACGACAATATACAAATAAAAAATATATATATCACCATTACAGATGCAAATACAAATAAAAAAAAAGTTTAATAGTCTTTTACAAGACAATCTGCAAGTTTTTTTTCCATTTGCACATACCCTCTCTGTGCTTTAAATTTAAAAATTTTATCACTATCTACATACAACTCATAGCTATTTATCCAAGTTATAAGATAGCTTTTTTGACCCTTAATTTTCACAGGTATTATTTCATTTTCAGTCGCCTTATTTATAAATTTCGCTTTCTCTATAGTGTCAATTAGACTTTCATTTTCATCTACAAGAATAACCCTTGCGACATCTTCATTTAATTCTTTGACCCTTACTCGGATGTCATCATGACCAGTATCAAAGACTCTTGTTTCTTCTGCCTTATATAAGAAAATATTTGCGGACATCACGACTGTTAATAAAAACAAGGCTATTAATATATGAACTTGTGATAGTGTTTTCTGACCAGCTCTGCTAAAAAAAAAACATTACCTTAGAACTAAATTGCTGGTAACTTATGTTAAACTTTTTTTTAAAAAATATATATGAGCAAAAAATAACATTATTGCTAACTTATCTTATGGGTGGGGATTTGCTTATTTTTATACCATTTATTCGCTAAATCTAAAAAACTTGTTAGAAAAAAAGTTATATGATTAGTAATTACGTTATTCTAATATAATGCCAGATCACACTTAACAAAGCAACTCCACTTGGTCATAACTTCCAAACACTGAATCTATTCTATTATTTTTTCTGGTGAAATTAACACCTTATAATCAACAATCGTTTAAAGTGGGTTTAGATCTGATGATTTCGGAGATGGCGGAGATTCAAAGTCTCTGTAACATATGAATTTTGATAAAACTACTGATTAAGAATGACATACTCATTGCCCTTATAGCCTTTTTAAGTCTCATTCTTATCGCGAGATCATATAAAGTAAGGAAAAGCATCTAGATATTATTCGCATTATTCGTAATATTCGTTAATAAAAAAAATCACACTGTGAGAAATGATTCTGCAGAAAAGTGACACTGCATAAAATTTAATGCAGGCCATTGATTATTAAAGTCAGTCAAATTTTTATCGCACACTCGAACTGATAAACCTAAATATAAAAATATAAAAATATTAGTTAACTATTAGTTAACTATTAGTTAACTATACTCCGACAGCCTCTGGAGGCCGTCAAGGACACAAAATTTATGCAATAAAAATTTGTGCAGACCCGTGGAACTGTTAAGTCATATGATAGTATGACAGAATAAAATCGAAATGATCTAACATCTGCGAAATCAAATTACCACTACGTAGTTATGTTAAAATAGTACACACGTATGTTTACTAAAATTTCATGAATATATATTATTAAACTATAGATCTAGATAACTGCTATTGACTTTTTCATAATAAATATATATAAAATTGTCTAAGCCACTGTCGAAGTGCTGTCGAAGTGCATACTTATAATAGTAATAAAAAATAATTTATTATCGTAACCTGAATATCATTATTTCAACCTCGACTAAAAACATATACATGGACCTGTGGGCCATTAAGTTATACAATAATACTTTATTTTTTCTAGAACAAATGTATGAATTCTCGTATACTCAATTCATTTTAGTATAAATCGGTGCCGAGAAAAGTCTCATAATTTGACGAGCATGAGGTTATTCTTAATGGCTATCAACAATAAAAATTAAATTATCATTACGTGGTTATGTTAAACTAACGCACATTCATGTTTACTTATTTCAGTATTTATGTATTTACGGGGTAACAAATTCGATGCTAGATGTTTGATCAACATGCTTTGATATTTTCGTTATAATGCATAAACAATGAAGTATATAATGGTTATTCTAAATTTGTAAATCAGGCTTAAATATTGATATATAGCGTGTAAAATTATTACTGTACCCCGTGTCTAATAATTGTAGTATCGAATTTAGTAAACAATGCGCCCTGGTTAATTATTGTTTTGTGATATATAAGAGAATAGTATCCTTTTATATAAATCTTAATTTTTAATTTTTTTTTTACTGATATTCCACCTTCTCACACTAGGTTGTTTTTGTGTTGATAAGATGATTGCTAGAACTATTTGTGCGGGTATACTTAGTCAAGCAAAAAATTTCGTTTCTACTACTAAAGTGATAGGGCCTCTGACTATATATGTTGTGAGGTTTAATATACTCATAATTACCATTTGGTAGCTCAGTACTTTGGTGAAGGTAGTTATTTGTTTCGCAAAAAAATACACAATCTAATTGCCCTTAATAATATAGTTTTCTCAAATGTAGTTATAGCCTTTTGAGGCAGGCTTAGGATCTGACTATTACCTCTTTAAATTTTTCTATATTCTTATAAAAACACTCACAGAGGGTGCAATTATCAGATTATCATTGTCTGCGTAGCAAGAAGAGGAAGACCCGATGAGCTTCTTGCGGTTTAGTCCACTGAGCTATGAGATGAGAAATAGTTTGAATGTATCTACCTCAAAATCTAAATAAATAGATATACCTTTTTTCTTTTTGCCCTAGGCATGATTGTCATTCTCAATGTGGGATGTGTGTAAAGAGGAAGGTACGCAGACTTCCTAAACAACTGAACCACACCACAGAAAGTAATTGAATGTATCCACCAAAAAAAAATATATAAACAAAATCTAACCTTGCCAATGGAACTTAATATGTCTATATTGCTATCAATGAATAAAGTTACATTCAATCAAATTGGATAAATAATACATTTTTATTTTCTTGCACGAGATTCTATTGCATTGATAGATCGACCGCCCAGGTTACTTATTATGAGCATATATAGTTATGCAAAAAATTTCGCTTGAGTCTTCATCTCTTGACAATAGGGCCTCTGACTATGTGTATTGTGTATTCGAAAGGGCATAATCATCATTGTAGATGGCCCAGTACTTTGACTTGAGTGGTTCATTTAGTCTGCAAAAAAATCAATTGGATGATTAGCCAGATAGCGTAAAATATAATTTTAATCTTATTTCTTAATTTTTTATATGAGATACTACTCAACTATAATAACTTGCATAAGTGAAACCTTTCTAGATAAAGGTGAATTTCTTCAGATAGAAGCATATATATTAAGTTATTTATATGCAGATTTCTAAAGATTATGATGTTGTCCACCGCTTTCCTAATGCTATTCTTGAGATTACAATTGAGTAATATATTTTTTATATTAAATTTTTTTTATCTACTTCCAACACAGATAGAAAAGTGTCGATGTGAAATAAAAATGAATTGGATATTTATTATACTATACTTGTTACAAACTACTATAAGACATTGAAATTGCTTTAAATCGATAAAATCAGCGAAATTGCTATAAATTGCTAAATATACCCAGTGACATGGTTAAAATTATAATAGATGATATTTATAATAAAAGAGTACCTAAACCTAACAATCTCCGTCCTGACTATAATATAGAACATGTTTTTAACTATCGACCTCAAACTGATGACTATCACTATAAAAAAGTGGTTGAAATAGAAAAACAATATGATTATTTATCTATTATTAGGCCTCATAAAACACCTCAGCAATGGGCTAATTGTGTAAGAGTTCTCTACAAGAACTACTTTTTAAGCGAGAATATAGTGTTTATCATGTATTCTGCCTCTT